ACGTGCTCATCTGGGTCGGCAGTGCCATCGTAACGGTCGATATTGAGAGGCTTCCATCGAAAAGGCAGGGGCGTCTCCATGATGTCATCAACAAAAGGATGGCGACGGATGCCCGCCCTATGTCCTGGAGCCTGGGCAGGCGCATTGCTGACTTCATGGTCTGACCTATTCGTCGGTACGTGTGACCGATGAACAATAGACCTATGGGTCGCCGCCCTGGGTGCAGTCAGTGGCTGGGAAACCGAGTGCCCCTCTTCCTCATTTTGATTACTCGGTTGAGGGGGTTGATCAGAAGGGTGCCGAGGAAGCTGGGCGCGAATGCGCTTATTCTCGGCGCGCAGCGCCGCTATGTCAGCTTCGTGCCTGGTGCAGATGTTTTCCAGGTCGACAGCGTGTTGCTGCCGCATTTGATTGACCTGCTCGATCAGTCTCCTCAATGTTGCTTTGCCTTCCATTCTGGTTACGCGATCTAGGTCGTATGTTGCTCGTCTACTATGGCTTCGGGTGAAAACTATAAGCGTGGCTGATAAGAGATGTCTCGATCGACCCCACGGTGGCCGCCAAATGTTCTTACCGGAGATCGGTCGTAGGGACGATCTGCTGGGCAAGATTGGTTAGCCTCCTTCGCTGGGTAGGCTTGTTGTTCCAAGTGGGGGTGGTACCTGCAAAAGAGACTTCAATGCTAAAGTTAGTGTTTGTGGGTATATGGATCTTATATAAGTAATGCACGTACCTTAGTGTGAATTAGGGTTTATCTGGGCCTTAGGCCTGAGATCAGTTGTGACCTGTTCAGATAATGGGCCTTTGTCTTGGCCGATGTCGCGTGGCACATATCCGATGTCGATCTGCACTGTGATGCCGAGCTCGAGCTCGGCTTCGCTGTATGAATAGTATAGAAATAAAAAAGGTGAGTTCTTATATATGCGATTCTCTTCTTTTAGTCAAATATTGCATTTATTTTTTATTTTTATATTTACTATTTTTATATTTAGTTGTGAGTTTGTTGCGAATGATGTATGGTGATTTGTGTTGTTTTTTGAAATTTTAATAATTAGACAACATTGTCTGATATGGTTGAGAATGAATTTTACAATTAAGAGATATTGGTTGAGTCTGAATTACCTTATATATATATTGTATTCTGAATTTTGTAATTAGTGTCCTTGCTTTACTATCTTTAAAACACTAGTACTCATAAGATTATGAAATATTATAAAAAAAATTATGAAATCATTAATTGTGAACTCGAAAACTTTCATGGCTTCAATTAGAAAATGTGAACCTGAAGAATTATCAGTCTATTTTAATCTTCCTGTGTCGAATTCATAAGACTAAAATAAATAAGTAAAATATTACATATTTTACATGAAAGATTAAGAAGTGAGACTTAAAAATGGATATTTATGTGCTTCCTAGACGTACAATTTTAGTGGCAGAAAACATAATAATTTGGTATGAAGGTTTCATAATAATTTAGTGGCAGAAATTCCCATGAAGGTTTCATAGCAACCAGGATCAACATTTTTATCATATACGTAATGCTTACATATAATTATGCTCCCATCAACCATAAAAGGGGAAAATTCCAAAAGATGTATAAAATATATTGGTTCCTTATAATTCCTTTTAAGTACAATCTCAGTTGGTTTATTTTATTTTATTTTTTTCAGTACTTCCCTAGATGCAGCATGCAACGATATTCTAATGATGAAATCACAAAAGTTAAAGAAGATTGATGTTTGTATGTCATTAAAAATGCTTGTAGGTTAGTATGTTGTGCTATAGCATTTTTGGGCCATGCCACTTTTCTTTTATGCTATTTTTTTAATCTCTATACATTTTCTTTTATATTGTATCTAGTTGGTGACTTGTAATTTTTCTTTTCTTTGCAGAACCAATGGACTATGGAATATTCTAAGAGCGAGAACTACATGATATTGGACAAACATTGATTATATGTTACTATCAAGTTGATGACAATAACTAAATGTAATATGTTAGGTCTATATACATTTTTTTTTTTAATTTGAGTCTAAGACTAGGAGTTGCATGGTAATGGACAAACATTGATTGTGTTTAGATATATGTAACTATTATTGCAACAAAATAAATGTAATATATGTTAGGTTTATATAAACTAATCTTTTAATTTTAATGCATACATTATACATTATATTTTTGAATCAGATTTGGCTACATTCTTGATTGATTAGTATAGTTCTATGTCTTGGATTATTTTTGCATGCATAGCAAAATCAACAAGTGTCAATGATGTAAAAAAATTATTAAAAAGAAATTAAACATACAGATAAGGCTTATATAAGGAATCAATTTCCATTGGCTAGAATATAGAAAGCATTTTTTTCTACAGGCGCTTTCTATAAGATAAACCAAAGACAACACTTTAACATAAAGTGTTGTCTTTACATTCAAAGATAGAGAGCACTTCTTTGAAAAAGTGTCATGTAGGTACTTGGACATAGATAACACACTTAAAAGGAAGTGCTTTGTATTTGCATATACATAGATAACGCTTTTCTAGAAGTGTTATCTATTAATAGACATCGTTCAAATAAAGAGTTCTTTTTAAGTGTTGTCTATCATTAAAATAAGCGTCATCTATTGATATTTTTGGCGTGGTGACCATTAATTGATGAACAAGTTTATGAATGAGTAAAGAATTTAAGTGTGGTACTTGGAAAGAATAAAAAACAACCAACTAAGAAAAATATATGGAAGAAAAGGTCAATTTTTTTCTATCATACTACAAGATGTTTGATGTGAGACATTGTATAGATGTCATGCATGTGAGAGAGAAAAAACGTGTGTGACAATGTTATTAGAACACTTATTAACACTTAAAGAAGACAAAGAATAGTGTAAATGCTAGTTTAGATTTGGTTGAAATGGATATAAAAGAATAGTTAGTTCCATGGGTTCATGGTAAGAAGATATTTTTGCCCCCAATATGTCATACGTTGTATAAAAAAGAAAAGGAAATTTTTTATGAGTGTTTACAAGGCATGAAGATCTTAAAAGTACCGTGCAAAATAATGGAATTATGGTGGTGGCTAAATCATAACATTTCTCAACTTCTAAAGACTCAAACCTGGTTACAACATCTTTATGTTACTTCAAAGTCATTCAAGACATTTGATTGGTCGATTACACAACTTTCTATATATAATGATTGTTAATTAATTACTAAGCATTTACTAACAAGATTATTATATATGCAATTCACTTATGACATTCCCAACGTTGACTCGTTAAAGAATAAATAGATTAGTTATGTGAGACAATGATGGAGGAATTTTAAGAATCAACTCAACAATGAGTACATTTTTGGCACCGAAAAAAAAACTTATGTATATTATTAGTATCTTGATCAAGAGACTTGGGATAGATTTCACGAGAGTCGACTCTCACCAAAATTTCCAATAATTAAGTCAATTGATCATCACTAAAATGATTTATTTACACACACACATATATATATATAATGTTATTATTAATTAATTTTGTGTTTTTATTATGTATATAACAGAAAAGGAGGAAACAAGCACAATAGCTAATTATTTAAATTATAACTTTTACTTAACATAATTTTTTTTTCTAAGATCTTTGACCTATACAAGTATTACAACTAATTCTTAAAAGAATTTATTTAAACATGCATGTACCTTTTATTATAATCTTTCAAACTCTAGTTTGATTACTTTACAAATCGATCTTAGGTGTTGACATTAACTTTCTTCTTTATCACCTCAATTCGCTTTTGTTTATGTACCCTAAAACTTGCTAGGTGACTTTAAAAATTAATCTTTAAGAGAACTTGATTACTTTTTACACTTTTGCTTATGTACTTTAAATTTTAAACCCTAGTCTATGGCTTTAAAATTCGACCGTAGGATGGTAATTTTTTCTTTCTTCACTTTGCTTCATCATCTTGATACATTTGCTAATTAATGTACCTCAAACCTTAACTAGTGGATATGAAAACTCATTTATGACGATGACTCTCTTGTTGATTACCTCGGTATACTTTTGCTTATATACCTTAATCTCTAACCAATGACTTTGAGAATTGATCTTAATTAGAGGGATAATATGATAATTTTTCACTTTGTTTTGTCATCTTGGTATACTTTTGCTTATATACTTCAAACCCTAGCTAATAACTTTGAAAGCTGACATGTAAATACAACTTTTTTATTAATTAAAATATTAAAATATTATAAAGAAATGTTTTAATAATAGTTCTAGTTTTTTTTTTTAAAATGTTATATATATATA